TTCTAGCTCTGTCATCAGACCCTGGTTACCATGTAGCACCAAAGAACTCGTCATGACGAATCAAACGAATCCGAGATACAATAGGGTTGCGTCGTTTCTTTACTGAGTTCATATGACTATCTTCCAGTTCCATCATCAGATCTGACCCTGGTAACCATCTAAAAATTAAGTACTCGCCAAGACGAATCAAACCAGCCGTATATCAATGGGATTGAGTAGTTTCATTACAAAGTAGTCGTAGGAACCTCACAGAATAGCCTCATAGACCTCACAGAAGATCGGCGTAAAGTACTTCTGCGATTTGTCTGGTGAGTGAGGTAGCCGGACCCCAACTTTATTATAAGGAGAAAACGCATCTGCAACCCTATGCATATGTCCATGGACGGCTGAAGATGGAGCTGCATCATCAGATCCTGGTTACCAATGAAAGACAAACTACTCGTCAATACGATTCAAATGTACTCAAACGCGATGAGGCTCTGTCGTTTCATTTCGAAGTTCCTTTGGCCTTCTTCCAGCTCCATCATCAGATCAGCACCATGTCATAAAAATATTGCGTTGTCTCGCGATTTACACATGTATACAAAATTTCAGCTCAACCCGTAACCGGGAAGTAGATCAAATTTAATTTGCAAGATTTGATTTGATGATTTAACATTAAAATATTGTAAAAATGTTCATATAATGAAAAATACTTGGCCAAACTATGGTAAATTTTAATGGGACCAAATGGCAACTATTCTGCATTAAACTAAATAAGAATCACGTAAATCGGATCATAAATCTCAACGTAATCGGTGTACATACATCGAAAAAAAATATACCAATCGAATTGAGAAACTCCTCCTTTTGAAGTCGGTTAAAAATATTACATTAATTTAATTAAATATTGAAGGTACTTACATAAAATCTGTATTGTGGCAAAAAATATATAAAAACATTATATTTAACCATTTTAATTAGTGGTCCATCTAGGTCCTGGACCCTGCCCAGGGGGGGGGGTCATGACCTCCATGACCCCCCCCCCCCCCTGGATCCGCCCTTGTGCTCCGTTATATTGGAAATTCATTGGCGCCCGAAGTGTCGACTTCGGTTTTTTCAGTGACAGCCACTGACGAAAGAAAAAAACTAACCTAACCTAAACTATCATGTAAATGTTTATCGTGGGGCGAACTGAACATGTAGGAAACAATGGAAGCAGAATATTTCGAATACAACGATGTAAGTTAACTGTCAAATTTAATTGGTGAAATGTGTCTATCACGTGGGTTATAACGAAACAGTTTTCAACTCCACACAGCTTTCTAAGCTTCGGCTCGGTTAGGAAGAGGCGTTTGCTCACTGTTATCAGTTGAATTAGAATGAGCGTATGTAAAAATCCAGTAGCAGCGAAATGACAACCCGGTCCAAATTTCAACAAGGCCACGGCGAGGCCTTTCTCACAGATTAAAAAAAACGCGGAATCGCGGTTATTGTTAAAGAACTTAATGGTAATGTGGGAAGATTAATTTAATACAAATATAAGATGATGTTTGTTTTCCTCCATTGTTTTGATACGCTTCACTTCCGCTCGATTTTAATACAAGCAATACGCAATGAATCAATCTAAACTTGTATTTTTTTTCTTTTCAGTCAAACGGATTGACCATTTTTTTTCACAGAGTGAACAGTAAATAAACATTAAAACGCAACATAAGAATTATTAGCGTTTACCAGCAAGGAGTTAAAAACGTACGGAATCCGTCGTGTCGAGTCCGTCTCGCACTTGGCTGGAAATTTTTAAATTTTTTCATACTTGTATAATATTTTGTACCTACATCGTTTAAATATATATTTAAATAGTAAATTTTGGTTACAGTAGTAGAACTTTTTAATCCTATCTCATATTATTCTATTTAATTTTGTTGTAATGTTTATCGTCCGTCAAACCTAACTATATTAACCGTCAAAATGGAGGCCGGAAAACATAAATATGAATACAAGTAGTCATGAAATTAATTATATTAGTTAACACATTCAGTTCTAAAAACGCGTGAACTACGCTAAATTCCGAATTAAATGTAATTATAAAACAAAATATCTTTTATGTTACTGGTATTTTCAATTTCGTATGTTTTAGTTTTTGTATTCGACAGTACAAACAAAACAAATTATTATGTTAATTAACAAGTACGTAATATGTCATATAGGTCACCTTCAAATGTTAACATTATACATGTAACTAAAATAGTAAAGACGGAGGAGTATGTAACTTCGCACGCTTATAATGTGTTTAGGGGAGCGCAGAATGCTCTTTATATTTTTTTAATTATGCATAAAAATACAATTAATCAATAAAAAATTTCACACACTACAATGCATAATTAATTATGGTCGAAATATGTCTTTATATATATAATTATTTTGTACGTGTGTCACTGAACTCCTAAACTGGGACCGATTTTAATGAAATTTTTCATGTGCCTTCAAGTCGATTCGAGAATGGTTTAGATTCACAATTCGGTACACTACAACGTCAGTCGGGTAGCGGGTCTGCCGCTAGTATATATATTTTTGTCCACCATTGGGACATATATATGGGCTGCTACTTTACCTCAGGCAGCGGGTATTACTAGCAAAGAACAATAATTTAATAGTATTTTTTTCACCTTCAGATTCTATCACTTGCAGTCTAAGGAATACGTAAAGCTTCGGACAGTGACAGAGTTCGTGACCCAAAGAGTACAGTTCGTTAGGGCTTAAGACTCTACGAGTAGAGTCACGGCTCTTCTTGCGTCTTTCGGCTAGAATTGAAACAGCGTATTCGGACCACTGCACCGATGATGGCCGGCGTTTCCATCGCCTTGGGAACCTATCAAAAAGTGGGGCCCAGTTACCTCACTCACCGTCAGCCCTAACGAGGCTGTGGTACTGCCCCGGACGAGCCTGCCCATTCGTGCAACAACGGTGGCTGCGTCGCCAGGCCTGTATTCCGTTAGCAATCATCTGTTTCCTATTAAAGGGATGGCGTACGACAGCATATATATTAGCTATTACTTCTCATACTCTACATTTGTGTTCGTTCTACGTTTTGTGTAACAGTGCATTTCAGTGTAAAGGTATTCTCAAATAATCAGCATGTGTACATATTATATGTATGTAGATGTGATATTATCGATAAAGTCAATTATAATGATTCAGTAGTTATGACTTTAGGATTGAAAGCGGTCTAATGTAAAACCTAACATTTTTTCATATATTACATCAGGGTATTAAAGTAATAGTGTACCTTATTTAAAGAGTTTATTTTAGTCTCTAAAAGCAGTCAACAATATAAGCAAAAAGGAAAAACAATAATATAATAATAATTAAATTCTCGTGATGAGAGCTAAATTAATCCACATTTATAATATTGAAAATTTCATCGCTCAGAGGATTTTTAGTAAGAAAAGCGAAGTAATTTTGGAATCATATCTCCGGGGCGGAGTGACATTAATACGGCGAAACTGAAATCTCTTCTGCTTACAGTAAATTTATCAATGCAAGATATATGTATATATGAGAGTTGCTATGGTTGGAATATTTGTCGAATACAACTCGTCTCTCGGCTATTACTAAAACGGGGATAGAGTTTAATATGTTCTCCGCGTTTCACCAAGCTTGGATCAAAAAGATTTTGAATAACGTATGTGACTAACGCCCGCTTTCTGAAACACTGATCATTGTAGAAGTTAACTAATCAGCTGTCATTTCAACATTTGAAAAGCCATTTGACAGCTGATTAGATAACTTCTACGATGATCAATGTTTCAGAAGCCGCGGAGTGAGTGAGTTAAGCGGAAACCTCATCTGAAAGCGTATTTGGGATTAGAACCCGCAAACGATCGCTAGACAGTTTCTCTGGCTAGTGCAACCGTTACCTCATAGGTTATATTAAAATGACATGTAAAAAATTTTTGTGTGTACTTATGTTCGCATGTAAGATGTTATACTTCTTTAGCGTAACAAAAGAAAAATAATTATAATTTTTACCTCCTGTGAGACTCTTTCTTGGGCGAAAAAGATATTAACTGCAATTGATAATGGTTATAACTCAGAATTTTAGGTAAATTGCAAAAAGTTATCATTGTTTGCCATTGCAACCAAAATGATGAAGTTGGTTCTAACTTCACTGTGTCATTTTTGAGCGTCAACCACATTATGTCGCATTTTGAGCGTCAGTGGTGGGCGCAGTTTAAAAATTTTACTCTCATAATTTTTTCCAAACGCACCAGAAGAGATTTAACTTCAAAAAGTTTAAAAGCCTAGTTAAATTATAAAAGCCCTTTCTTAGACGCGTGTTAATGATTTCAACTAAAACGACAATAGTAGAGTTATATATTTTTATGTTATATAAATAGAGAACATACATTTCTTATTAAACCAATTTCTGTATTATTTAGAGAGCTAATTGGTATTTATTTGTAATAGTGTATTTATTTAAAATACCAAGATTTTTTTTTATTAAATATACGGTCGGTAAGAATGATTCATTTTCATTATCGCATGGATGCGTTCTTTTATTAAAAAAATATAAGCTGGTGAATTTTAACAGACCACTTACGACCATCTTTCATTTTGTTGAGCTGTTTTAATTATTTTTAATATATTGTGCACTAGATGCGGCTTTACTTATATAAACACAATCATTGTTATAGTAAACTAATAATAATAACCTTTAATGATGAAGGCGAACTCTCAAGGTGCGAAAGTATTGGTGGGAAAACATATGTTGGTTTATAAAGATATCTTCGCAATGATATGCTTTAGTTTAGAGTAATAGTATTTTTAGATCCACGCCTAGTTAATTATATCAAGGAAACTAGAGCAGGTCAGTCGGCGCGCTTGGTAATTAATAAAAAAATATATTCATAACATTCTTTTTACAAAGGAAAATGTAATCTTTTTTTTTTTAAAAAAAAGAATTGGTGCTAAATTAATTATTGGTTTATATAAATTCACAATAAAATAATCAGACTCACCTTTTTCTTGGAATAACACTTTTAACTTTGATAATTGTATCGCTATCACCAACACCTTTTTTTCTATTGTTGTTATCATTCAAACTTTTCATACTATCACTATGAAATTTTCTATTAGCTATGTTTTTTTCTGTAGCCGCGTTTGCCGGCATGTTTTTGGTTTTATTCAAGAACAAGCTGACATTTATACAAGGGGCGACGATTATAGATTTGTGTCGGATAACATTTGGTGCGATTTTTATAAATCGCGCAGACTGCCGCGCATGTGCTGACGTACCGTGTAAGTAAAGCAGTCGTGGTAAAGATCAGCGCCCTCTGTACATCAATTTCCAGACTACTTGCCATTGTTCTTATCAGTAGTCCTATACCTTTTAGTTAGTTTTACTATGAAACTTTAGATGACTATAAAATCTAATATGGAATGGAGTAAATTATTCTTTTCTCTAATTAGGGCCATATATGAAATATGATACGGTACAGGTTTCCACTACCTTAAACTTAGTAATTACACATATTTTATTAAAATAAAGTTTAGTTTTATGTATTGCAGATTCGATGAAAACTCCCATGGCATTCCACATATTAATATGTACTTATGAACAATAAAATATTTCGTTCTTTCGTTTGAAAGACCTGGATAGAAAGATGAAGATTTCAGTAATTCTCATATCTGTTTTTGGTTATAGTACAAGGAAAAAAAGGTATATAATATAGTACTATTATTTATTATTATAGTTACATCAATTTGGATGATAATATTATCTAAATTTACAGAAAAACAAGAAGCGTCAGAAACTTTTCTTTTGCTCACAAGTAAGAAAATAAGACGCTCGATTCAAACTATTTAATTCGATTTGATGATGATTACTTCTTGATTCTTGTTGGGTTTATTAAAGTACACTGCCGAATGTCCTTCTACAACGTCTGAGGGGTTTGTCCGGTGATTGAGAAGAACGAACTGTGGTGGTCCCGTCGGGTTCGGTTGAGGATAGTACACGTGCATTACAGCGGTCGGTTGGCCGTTCGGCGCGTTGCCAACGGGCGCTGTAATTAAAGGTGGCGGGGGCGGTGGCGGTGGCGGTGGCGGGGGCGGTGGCGGGAACATCATAGGGTGGTGCATCGGCATTAACGGTGGCATCTGTGGCTGGTTGAATACGAATTGCGGTTGGCCTGGACCCGACGGCGGCTGTCCCGGGTACATCGGCGGAACGGGGAAGTAGTTCGGAAATGGGTTCGACGATACCGGTACTAATATGAAGACTTGGTTCGACGTCTCCCTCTCGGTCGTGGCTTGAGCGGTCGGTTGACTTATAGAAACTTCTAGACTTGCTGTTTCGTTCCCGGCGTTTGGCTGCACTTCTGTTCCTTCGTTAGTGTCGATCGCTGGACTAGTAGCGCCGATTTCGCCTTTCGCGACATCCGACGCCGCTTCTGGAGGATTTTCCGCGGAAGATTCTTCATGCTTTTGGGTTTTCTCACCCGTTTCGGTTTCAGTGATTTCTTTGTCTTCCGGCGCTGGTTGACCATTTATGGCTAGTAAAATTGACGCCGCTACTATGACGATCTGTAATAAAATATGTAATCCGTGAGAACTTTGTTTTATTTTCAATATTTGTTAATATTTATAGATTATATTATATAATAATATTTTTGTCACTAAGTCTTTTATTTGCGTACACAATTTCAAGACCAAAAGTTTTAAAGAATTCTACCTCAGGCAGAGACAAATACATTTGAAGAATGTAATATTTTTAATCTTACCAAAAAGTTAGCTCCCATGTTCACTGTTCAAAAGTCTACTTGTTAATGAATTCTTTGCCTCAAAAGACATTCATTTATACAATATCCATTACAAATTCATTAAGTAGTAGACCGTCATTTAGAGACATTTATGAATTCCTCTAACACCATTAAATTTGTCTGTGATTAGAAGGATTTCAATCATTGACTATACAATATCTTCTCTAGTATTTGTTAGTACTCCAGTTTTTTTAGGGACTAAGAATAGACAACTCGGGTCATTTTTGATTAATTATTATCATTAAATGGGAATAATCAATTTATAGTCGTCTTAGAGTCGTCTCTCTTGTCATAGATTTGTGTCAGGTCTATCAAAAATAAAATAATTTTAAATACATTTGTGTATAAAACTATGCCTCAAGGCTGAACGTGAAACAAGACTGAAAGAGAAATAATTACTTTATTCTACGAATATATCATTATTTATGTGAGAAGGTTGTAAACGGTTCACCTGATGTTAAACAATAACAACCGCCCACTGAGATTTAAATGTAGTGTTTTTGAAAAATAAATAAATTTATACTAAACCCATTGTCCATATAATATATTGTGTATGGTGTAGTAATACATTTACTTGAAATAGTAAGACTTTTTTTTAAATTAAATATACAGAACGAGTCAATAAAATGGTCACCATGATCCATTATCCTTACGGTATGTAATGTACTACATCGCAAAGGCGTGTTGTATGCATGCACACGTGAATTTTGAGAGCTTGTAGCTAGAAGCAATTGAGTTTCCGTATGGTCAGAGTGCGGTCGGCCACTAATTGGGCAATCAATTTTAATCTTTCTAAACCGTCACAGCTCGTTACTATCTAAATTCCTACTACTAAATAACGCATCGATTAGGACTTACCAAAGTCGTTAATAAATAATAATTATAAAGAAGTAAAAGAGACGGATGAGTTGTTCATTAATAAATCATTATTTTTAATGATTTTTCTATGAATCAAATTCTCGTTGATATCATGACGAATATTATAATGTGAACTGCATTTCGTGCTTTTACTCATATATCTCTTTATGTAGGCAAATTATTTAATTAATAAATGATGCTATAATTAACAATATTCTCAACGATTCGATAACTAGAACATTTGTCTCCTTGTAACTTGGTTTTTTATAAAATCAGTAAAACATTTTATCAGTATTACGAGTACTTATCCTTTTTATGATTCCCCTTTTTTTTGTCGCAATTTTTCCTTTTTGATAGGGTGCTATTTAATTATTCCAGGCGCTATTACAAAACGCATTTTCAAAATTACGTTTTCAATGTATTATTTAAAGTAATATTAAACAGTAAGTGTTACCATAATATTCAATTTGTATCAATTATCATAAATTGCTATATAATAGAACAATAATGACATAAGCTTTACTTTTAACAACAATTTTTATTTTACTTTGACCGCCGTGAAAAGGAAATATTGCTTAAATTAATAACCTACATTGTGTACACAAATACATTGTGTGCTTAAACAAATTATGCACTAATGCAATCTCCAGCCTGTCTTTACTTTGATAATTTAGGTAACTTGTTCTTGATTGATTTTAATCTTCGACTTCAGCTAAAACTTCAACTCATTTCACAGTCTGGGGCGGGAGTCAACATCCTAATCCTCAAACTACTTAAAGCTTCATGCGTTACATTTTCCAGAAAGTTCCAGGTCATCACTATATATCATTCATATTTAACAGCTGTCGCGTTGGTTTTCAAAATGGCGTCAGATATTGTCGATACTGCAGCGTTCATCGCCATTTTATATGTGAGAGGGTAGCAACCGAACGGTTCACCTGAGACTAAGTGATAACCGTCGCCCTTAGGGCGTATTTGCGACGACCCTTGGGGTCAAGATGCGTAGCAAACTTTTGATAAAGTAGGCTCCGGATACCTCACTCACCAGGCAAAACGTGGAAGTAACACTTCCACTTTACGCCGGTATTTTGTAAGGGCGTGGTACTTACCCGGATGGACCTGCAGTGAAGTCTGTGCGTGGCCCTACCACAATTAAACCAAATTGTTTTATTAATTTTGTCGTAATTAATAAAACACTGAACGTCGTTGATTACACACTTTGTAAGAATTGAGTCGACGCGCGCTTCATTAGCCACGCTGGCTGATACCACGTGTTCCGTGGACCCATTTGCTCAGTTGCCCGTGCCACTTTCTCAGTACGGTAATTGTGATCACGCCCTGCAATGGGCTTCAACGCTCATCGACATACGACGTCTAAACGACTGCAATTACACGTATGCGCGTCGTCCATTAAGTTTTTAGGACGTCGGCGTCGCTCGGTGCATTTTAAAAGCAACTTGTAAATGATTGCTCACACTTTCCTCGCTGATTGATTGGAAACGCTGATTAGAACTGTTCCCACGCGTCTGACACACATTCTCTCGTGTTTTGTTTTCGGCTGACAAATGCATGTGATTTAATATCTACTGCTTTAATGGTATTCAATGACATTGTCTTCAAAGTGCAACTTTCAGTGATGACAAACGATGAATCACTCGTTCAACATTTACCTGCGTTAATGCGGGTGTTTTCGTGGACATAATTGAACTCTGTTAGCTCATCAGCTGGAAATACCGCCGGAAAACGAACACTTGGAAGCATACTGTACTCCAGAACGGTTACATAATCTGCTGCGCTTATCCCAGGCAGAAGGTCAATAAGCTCGCCTATTCCATCAATCATTCATCAGATCAAAATTTGGTTGATATGCATTCAGCACTGGAATTTGGCAAAATAGTAGACAAAACGGTATTTCTCTTTTTTTTTTTTTTTTTTTTTTATGCGAAAAGTTGTCAAACGAGCAGACGGGTCACCTGATGGTAAGTGAATACCGCCGCCCATGGACATCTGCTACACCCGAGTGTTACAGATGCGTTGACAACCTTTTGAAAATTGGGCTCCGGCTACCTCACTCACCAGACGAAACGCGAAAGTATTTGTCATACTTCCACTTTACGCTGGTCTTCTGTGAGGTCGTGGTACTTACCCGGACGGGCCTGCCCATTCGTGCAACAGCCGAGGCTGCTGCGTGGCCCTACCACCGTAAAACTTACTCTACATGTGTAGTCACGAATATTGTGATTATTGGAAGCTCTGGAGATTAAAAATCAGACGAAATCTTTCGCAGTCCGACTGTACACAAAGACTGTGTTATATTTTATTTCACAAATTAGTAAAGTTAAAGGAATGAGTTTCGATTTGTTTTCGTGTTATATTCCAATTTTTTTATGTGAGATGGTTGCTAGCGAGCTGGCAGTTCACCTGATGTTAAGAGATGGCTGCCACCTGTCGACATTTTGAATATTCTTAGGGTTGCTGATGCGTTACCACCTTTTAAAAAAGTGTGCCCCCGTTACCTCACTCACCAGACGAAGCGCGGAAGTATATAACGCCGGTTTTCTGTGGGGTCGTGGTACTTCCCCGGACGGACCTGCCCATTCGTCCACTCCAATATACCATCATGGAAATGACCACTAAGAAACACTTCGAGGATAGTTTGTTTATATGATCATAACAAAATTATTTGGAAGATGGGTGGAATCCAGATATTTGCTACTGGTACACACAGCAGACTACATCAACACAGGTGAATTAATACGTGAAGTAATATCGCCATTTCTCATTTCATTGTCCCAACAAACCAGTACCGATAATACTTGCAGATACTTTATTGGAATTCCTCTGTAAGAATATTCATAAGTCCGTTCGATCAACCATTTATTCCTTAATGTTCACCATAATTCACAGAAATCCAAGCAGCTTACCTTTGAATTCTGCTATGAAAGATTTATGCGGTTGATACTAATCTTTATATGTTATTTCTCAAAGGTGTTTTTTGTCGTTGCGTCATAACTTCCACAATTCCTCGTTAAATTAAATTATTCAAACACCGTTTTCAAGCCTATGTCTACTGTTGGCGAAAAATATAACAAATAGTATAATGAGGTTTCTTATCATTAATAAATTTCGCACGGATCGGATCGTTGACGTTTAATATAGTTTAGCATAGCAGCAGAGGCGGATTATCCTTAAGGCAAACTAGGCATCTGCCTAGGGGTGCGAGGGTACCGAGGGGCGCACGGGCGGAATTGGTAAATAAAGAAAATATGTATAATATAGGATAAAATTAATTGCGCCAGCAATTAAGCCATCTTCTTACAAAATGAAAACTATTATTTTTGAACCTCAAATTGCTTCAATTTATAACAAAATATAAATTTAACGGAAGGAACTGACTAAAACTTACGCCAACAAACAACAGATAGTACATGATCTCTAATTGAAGTTGGAAAGATACGACTACAATGTACGTCGCGTCGACCGCGACTAATGAGTATCGGTTTTTTTTCTTGGCAGGGTTTACTGTTAGGCCTTAGGGGACTAGATCCGCCGGACTTGAGGTGGCCGGGCGCTCGGGGCGCTTAGCCTGAACCACGGCGTATTATTATTATGGTGACTAAGCTCGAGGACTCCCGAGGGAGCCTCGGCTCGGGCCGTCACGCTATTATTATCATTATCGGTTTGGGAGGCCACCAGGCGCTCTTAGGGCGCTTTGGTGGACGTTCCATGGAGTGACTAGGCTCACGGACCCCCAAGACCTCGGCTTTTTTTTATGTGAAAAGTTTACAATCGAGCAGACGGTTCACCTGATGCTAAGTGAATACCGCCGCCCTTGGACATCTGTTACACCCGAGGGTTCCAGACGCGATGACAACCTTTTGAAAATTGGGCTCCGGTCACCTCACTCGCCAGACGAAACGCGAAAGTATTATACTTCCATTTTACGCCCGTCTTCTGTGAGGTCGTGGTACTTACCCGGACGAGCCTGTCCATTCGTGCAACAGCCGAGGCTGCTGCTTAGCCCTACCACCGTAGAAGGCTTGGGCTGTCACTCAATACCCGTTTAGCATTCCGATTCGAGGTGCCTGAGAGGGCCGGACTTTGGCTCGATCGGTAGCTAT